TGATCCCCTTTTCCCACATGTTGTATGTAGGACCATTTATTCCGGTACTTGGCCATCCCACCTTTTGCTCCTCCACCTTTTGCTAAGAAGCAGGGATGTAAAGCCAGAAGCAACCATAAGACCTAGGTTATTTCACTTCCTTTCTCTCCAGTGTTACAACAGCAGCCGTAGCGGTGCTAGACACATTTTGGGAAGAAGACTAAAGAACAAGACCTGTAAGATCTCTTTCAGCATTAAATTTCCACAAAATCTTATCTGTACTGGGATTCAGAGGATGAGTAAATTGCTTTTACAATGTTTTGAGCATGGTGTTCTTTGACTCATACTTTAAAGTTGGGAAAGATGGTACATATTTAAGACAGTGGTTTTCAAACTATTTTTTTAACTAGCAGATGCCCTTTTTTGTAAATGAAATTTTATACGGAATGCAAATGTGGCACTCCTCTGGTTGTGGCAGGGGGACAGGCCAGAGGCTCTATCCTTATAGCTTCTCCCTTTCCTTTCTGAAGGAGTCCCTGACATTTCTGAGATACACATATCGTTTAAGAAAAAAGGAAAAGGAAGTTAACATTTAGATAAATAAATGAAAAAAATAAAGAAATGAATGGGAAAGAAGAGAAAGTTTTTCCTTACTGTGGAGGGAGGAGTTGAGTTGGAAAATCAATACTTCGTAACCATTTAGCAAAGACTGGTTCCAGCAAGATTCATCATTAGATGATAAATCTAGGAGGGCAAGTTTTATCAGAAGCAGAATATTTGTGTGATTTTCAAACGTCTCCCCATAGAAGGAGTGCAACATTGCTTCTGAGGGGGAAACATTAGTTGTTGTTAGGTGTGCAGAATCAGTTCTGACTCATAGCGACCCTATGTACAATGGAACAAAACATTGCCCTGTCCCGTGCCATCCTCAAAATCATTGTTATGCATGAGTCTATTGTTGTAGCCACTGTGTAAATCCACCTTGTTGCGGGTCTTCCTCTTTTTTGCTGACCTTCCAAGCATGATGCCCTTCTCCAGGGACTGATCCCTCCTGATAGTATGTCCAAGGTCTGTGAGACGAAGTCTCGCCATCCTTGCTTCTAACGAGCATCCTGGCTGTACTTCTTCTAAGACAGACTTGTTCGTTCTTTTGTCAGCCCATGGTATATTCAGTATTCTTTGCCAACGCCATAATTCAAAGGCATCAATTCTTCTTTGGTCTTCTTTATTCATTGTCCAGCTTTCACAAGCATATGAGGTGACTGAAAACACCAAGGCTTGGGTCAGGCGCACCTTAGTCCTTAAGGTGACATCTTTGCTTTTTAACACTTTACAGAGATCTTTTGCCACAGATTTGCCCAATGCAATGTATCATTTGATTTCCTAACTGCTGCTGCCATGGGCGTTGATGGTGGATACAAGTGAAATGAAATCCTTGACAACTTGAATCTTTTCTTTGTTTATCATGATGCTACTTGCTGGTACGGTTATGAGGATTTTTGTTTTCTTCATATTGAGGCGTAATCCATACTGAAGACTGTGGTCTTTGATCTTCATCAGTAAGTGCTTCAAATCCTCCTCACTTTTAGCAAGTAAGGTTGTGTCACCTGCATAATGCAGGTGGTTAATGAGTCTTCCTCCAATCTTGATGCCCTGTTCTTCTTCATATAGTCCAGCTTCTTGGATTATTTGCTCAGCATATAAACTGGATAAGTATGGTGAAAGGAAACAACCCTGACGCACACCTTTTTTGATTTTAAACCATGCGGTATCCCCTTGTTCTGTTCGAATGACTGCCTCTTGGGCTAAGTACAGGTTCCTCATGAGCACAATTAAGTGTTCTGGAAGTCTGATTCTTCACAATGTTATCCATAACTTGTTATGATCCACAGAGTCGAATGCCTTTGTATAGTCAATAAAACACAGGTAAACATCTTTCTGGTATTCTCTGCTTTCAGCCAGGATCCATCTGACATCAGCAGTGATATCTCTGTCGCACATACTGTTCTGAATCTGGCTTGAATTTCTGGCAGTTCCCTATGGATATACTGCTGCAACCGCTTTTGAATGAACTTCAGCAAAATTTTACTTGTGTGTGATATTACTGATGTTGTTTGGTAATTACTACATTCTGTTGGATCACCTTCCTTTGGAATGGGTACAAATAGGGATCTCTTCCAGTCAGTTGGCCAGGTAGCTGTCTTCAAAATTTCTTGGCATAGATGAGTGAGCACTTCCAGTGCTGCATCTGTTTGTTTAAACATCTCAGTTGGTATTCTGTCAATTCCTGGAGCTTTGTTTGTTGTCAATGCCTTCAGTGCAGCTTGGATCTCTTCTTTCAGTACCATGGGTTCTTGATCATATGCTACCTCCTGAAATGGCTGAATATTGATCAATTCTTTTTGGTAAAGTGACTGTGTATTCCTTCCATGTGCTTTTGATGCTCCCTGCGTCATTCAATATCTTGCCCATAGAATCCTTTGAAATTGCAACTGGAGGCTTGAATTTTTTCTTCAGTTCTTTCTGCTTGAGAAATGCTGAGTGTGTTCTTCCCTATTGGTTTTCTATCTCCAAGTTTCTGCACATTTCATTATAATACTTTACTCTGTCTTCTTGAGTTGCCCTTTGAAATCTTCTGTTCAGCTCTTTTACTTCATCATTTCTTCCCTTCACTTTAGCTACCTGATGTTTAAGAGAAACTTTCAGAGTCTCTTCTAACATCCATTTTGGTCTTTTCTTTCTTTCCTGTCTTTTTAATGACCTCTTGTTTTCTTCATGTATGATGGATGCCCTTGATGTTATTCCACAACTCGTCTGGTGTTCGGTCTTACTGTTCAATGCATCAAATCTATTATTGAGACAGTCTCTAAATTCAGGTGGGATATACTCAAGGTCATACTTTGGCTCTCGTGGACTTGTTTCAATTTTCTTCAACTTGAACTTGCATATGAGCAATTGATGGTCTGTTCCGCAGTTGGCTCCTGGCCTTGTTCTAACTGATGATATGGAGCTTTTCCATCGTCTCTTTCCACAGATGTAGTTTATTTGATTACTGTTATTCTATCTGGCAAGGTCCATGTGTATAGTCACCATTTGTGTTTTTGGAAAAAGGTATTTGCAATGAAGAAGTCGTGGGTCTTGCAAAATCCTATCATGTGATCTCCAGCATTGTTTCTATCACCAAGGCCATATTTTCCAACTACCAACCCTTCTTCTTTGCTTCCAACTTTCATATTCCAATCACCAGTAACTATCAATGCATCCTGACTGCATGTTTGATCAATTTCAGACTGCAGAAATTGGTAAAAATCTTCAATTTCTTCCATCTCTGGCCTTAGTGGTTGGTGCACAGATTTGAACAATAGTCGTATTAACTGGTCTTCCATGTAGACATATGGATATTATCCTATTACTGATGGCATTGTACTTCAGGATAGATCCCGAAATATTCTTTTTGATGATGAACTTGACGCCATTCCTCTTCAATTTGTCATTCCCGGCATAGCAGATCATATTATTGTCTTATTCAAAATGGCCAGTACCAGTCCATTTCAATTCACTAATGCTAGGATATCGATTGTTATGTGTTCCATTTCATTTTTGATGACTTCCAGTTTTCCTAAATTCATACTTCATGCATTCCACATTTGAATTATTAATGAATATTTGCAGCTGTTTTTTTCTTATTTTGAGTTGTGCCACATCAGCAAATGAAGGTCCTGAAAGCTTGACTCCATCCATGTCGTTAGGGTTAACTCTACTTTGAGGAGGCAGCTCTTCTCCAGTAGCATTCTGAGTGCCTTCCAACCTGAAGGGCTCATCTTCTGGCACTCTATCAATATTCTGCTGCTATTCATAAGGTTTTCACTGGCCAGTTTTTTCAGAAGTAGACTGTCAGGTCCTTCTTACTGGTCTTAGTCTGGAAGTTCAGCTGAAACCTGTTCACTAAGGGTGACTCTGCTGGTATTTGAAGTACCTGTGGCAAAGCTTCCAGTATCACAGCAACACGCAAGCCGCCAAACAGTATGACAAACTGACAGGCACAAAGAGGGGAAATGTTACTAGCCTGTATACTTCAAAAATGTCACGTAACACAAAGAAAGGCTAAGGAAATGTTTCAGATTAAAAGGTAAAAGAGACATGACAACTAAATATATATATGATCTTCAACTGGCCCACATACTTGAGGGAAAAAATGCCATAAAAAACATTATTAGGACAAATGACAACATTTGGAATATGGTTTGTCAATTGGATAAAAGTATCGGTGTTAAATTTCTAGATTTTTATCACTGGACTATGGTTATGTAAGAGAATGTTCTAGTTTAGGAAAAAAACATACTGAAGTATTATGGCCTAAAGAGGGCATGATATGGGCAACCTAATCCTAAACAGTTCATAAAGAAATAAATACTACTATGTATTCACGTATTTAAGTTGAAAATCAAGTTGACGGCAACTAACAACAACATTTATGTACACAGAAAGCAGTGGCTCTTAGACTGAGGTCCCTGGAGGAGCATCAGCAGCCCCTGGATGCTTGTTAGAAATGCCAATTCTTAGGCCCCACCCCAGACCTGCTGAATCAGTTGTCGTGGGGTTGGGGCCTAGCAATCTGTGTTTTAACAAGCCATCCAGTGGATTCTGATTCATGCTAAAATTTGAAAACCACTGATACTGAGAGAATGATAAAACAATGTGGTGAAATGTTAAAAAATTGGTGAATCTGGCTAAAGGATATAGCAGAGTTTTCTCTATTATTCTTGTAACTTTTCCTTAAGTTTGAATTATTTTCAAAATAAAAATTAACAACAGCAACAAAAAGATGAACCCTGGGCAATGTCTGAAGAGATGTGGAGAGAACACCCTGGAGGCAAGAAGGCAAATCCCCTAATTCAAGGAAGTCATGAAAGTTAGAACTAAAGTTGCAGCAACTTCAATCCAGAGTAGGAAGCAGGATATTTGCAAGGTCTTCCAACAAAAAAATCTCCTTGCAGAGAATGGACACAGGCTATACTAACCTGAATAGGAGAGTCTGGCAATCTCTATAAAGAGCTCTTCTTCTGAAAAGCTTTCGGGGAGTAGTAGGAAAGCAGCATTCACAGCGCTCTTCAGATTTTTATCAAGGGCTGCCCTAAGAGTGGCATTCTCATTCATTGCTACGATTTTCACCTGAAAAAAAAAAGCAGACCATTCAGAAGAAAAATTCCAGAAGTAAAGTATTGCTCAAGCTATGGGTGTGCACATGTACTTGAACTCTCCCAAACTTTTAGCACTGAAGATCTTGGAATATCAGGCCAGTTAAAAAGAAGAAATTAGTATCCTAATAAGCAATCCCAGAGTCTCCTGTTTTATGCCAAAGTCAGAGAAATCATAACACAGGAAAGGATCAAAATGCCAACGAAGACAAAATAAATATTCCTTTTGAAAAAGGAAACTCATCATGGGTTTTGAAAAAGAAATCAGTACAAGGGGAGCAGACATCCTTTGGAAACTTTAATTTTTAAAATTATTTTCTAATCTCACTGTTCTTCACTTAATTTTCAGGGGACAAAAGCATTTAACTTCTTTATTTAGAACTGATCTCTGTTCTTGCCTATATATATAACCTCAGCAGTTTATGTTCTATTTCATGATCTCTAGATAAACTGATTTTGAAGTTGACTAAGGAAAAAGAAAATTACGTACCGTAGAAAGAGCATGGGTTTTGGAGACAGGTCTGGGTTCAAGTTCAGGTACTTACTAGCTGTGTGAGTTTGGAAAATTACATCTCTGAACTTAAGTCCTCATCTCTACAATGAAGATAACAGATTTGCATTAAAACACTGTCACAAAGATTGAATGAGATAATATATGTAAAGTGTCTAGGTGTCATGGATTGAACTGTGTCCCCAAAAAATATCTGTCAATTTGGCTAGGCCATGATTCCCAGTACTGTGTGGTTGTCTTCCGTTTTGTGATTTTAATTTTCCTATGTGTTGGAAATCCTAATCTCTGCCTGTGGTTAATGAGGAAAGATGAGATTACGTTAAAGAGGATTAGGGCGGGATTGTAACACCCTTACTAAGGTCACATCCCTGATCCAATGTAAAGGGAGTTTCCCTGGGATGTGGCCCGTACCACTTTTTATTTTATAAGAGATAAAAGGAAAGGGAAGCGAGCAGAGAGTGAGGGACCTCATACTACCAAGAAAGCAGCGCTGGGAGCAGAGCGTGTCCTTTGGACCTGTGGTTCCTGCACTCAGATGCTCCCAGACCAAGGGAAGACTGACGATAAGGACCTTCCTCCAGAGCTGACAGAGAAAGCCTTGCCCTGGAGCTGATGCCCTGAACTTGGACATTTAGCCCACTTTACTATGGAGAAATAAATTTTTCTTTGTTAAAGCCATCCACTTGTGGTATTTCTGTTATAGCAGCACTAGATGACTAAGACACTAGGATACTATCGAATGTTTTGCTTAAATTAATAAATGCTTATTGATTCTTTCCCTTCCCTTTCACTAGCTACCAAGTTTACAGTTCCTCTTGAAGAGGGTTTTTCTTCTAAATATACAGCAGAAGCTGCTGCTTTTGAAACTACCCCAAATCCATTAAAATACAAAGAGGTCCAGTCTGTTCCGAAATTCTGAGTTTTAAAGGTCTTAACAGTATAAGAGAATGTGCTCAAGTCCCAGCTCCCTTTCTCACTATCTCTGTGACTAGGGATATAATTCCTTATCAGTAAAATGGGGGTTAATAACAGAACCAAGCTCATAAGGTGGTTGGGAAGATTAAACGAGATATTGCATACAAACCCTTAGCATGTATTTGTGTCTCCTGGTGCACAATGCAAGAGTTTCTCTGGACCAGTGTGGTTCTCACACATGAGGGGGCATCAGAATCACCTGGAGGACTTGTTAAAATGCGTACTGCTGGGCCCCACCACCAGAGTTCCAGATTTAGAAGGCCTAGGTAAGGCCTCAAAATGTACATTTGTAACAAGTTCCTAAGTAAGCACATTTTGAGAACCACTGCTCTAAGGTATATACTTAAAAGTAGAACTGCCCAGCTGCTTTTCAGGGTGGTTGTACCAATTCACACTCCTGCTGTCATCTTTTTAAAACACCATGCTGTTTTTGACTGATTTTCTAAACCAGGAAAGGGTCTTCTTGTTGTTGTCAACTGTTGTCGAGTTGATTCTGACTCATAGTGACTCTACAGGATACAGTATAACTGTCCCATAGGGTTTCCAAGGCTGTACACTTTACGGAAGAAGACTGCCACATCTTTCTCCTGAGGAGCTGCCGGTGAATTGGAACCACCAACCATTCGGTTAGCAGCTGAGTGCTTTAACCACTGCACCACCAGGGCTCCTTAAAAGTCCTTAATAAGGACCCCTGTATATTGGAAATGTAGCCACCATCTCTAAACCATTTAGTGCTGTCACCAAATTTTCCTCTAATCGTGGAAATCGGGGTTTAAGCTGCCTTTTATTTGCCAATTACCGATGATGATGTCTGACAATATTAAGATGGTACATAAAAGATACACTATTAAAAAAATCTCAAAATAAAATTAGAAAGCCAGGAAAGAGGAGAATAATGTCTATCCCAAGATATAATTTCTTCTCTCTCTTTTCTTATTCATTGTAACAAGCAGTATTATAAAACACATAACTATTTCATGAATGAGACTTAAGAACCTAAATTCTATCTTTTACCTTTTTTTTTCTCCTCCACTGTTTTTCTAAGGGAGTTTTCCTATGGCCAAACTCCCACATACTAGCTAAGCTGCTTGATTCAATACCACCACCTCCTCCCTTGTAATTACCAGTTAATTGCCCTTAATTAATCCTTTCAGCACTTGTGTAAGTTAAGCATTGTTGCAATCAACTGTGGAGAGTAAAATCAAGGAGCAGCCCAGGAACGTGACTGGCCCAAGGTTGCATAACATGTTGATGGCAAAAATCAGGGTAACACCCTATACTTGGCAAATGCAGCTCTAAATATTCTGAATTACTCTCACACATTCAGTTCGGGATCTGTTCTAGTTAACTTCTTATCTTGAAAGATGATGAAAACAAATTGTAAGGTCCTAAATAACTCCTGAATTTATTCCTTGAATAGCTTCACCAAACCTTTTATTCTTTATAGAATCATGGATCTAAGAGAGATTTCAAAAGAAGATTTACTCCAACCTCCTCATTTACTGATGGGGAATCAGAGGCCCAACGGGGTTAAAATATTTCCCCAAAGAAGTAGTGGCACACCCAGACCTGGCCCCAGGTCTTTTCTAGTGCTCATTCTACATCACTGGGATGCCTCCTCACTTCCAAACTCCCATTCTTCTTCCTCGTCCACCAGGTCCTTCTAAAGAATTCTTCTCCCTCTCTTTTTTGGATGGCTTTCACAGAAGGTCAGTGAAGTCAGAAGCTATTTTGAGATGCTAACAAATCAAAGACGCAATGAAAAGAGTAAGTCTGGGGAAATTCTCCTATTCAACAGACTACACTTGTTCTCTGAAAAGCTGTTCTACTTAGTTTATAAGAAAGCAGTCCGTTTGCTACTTTAGGTTCAGAGAGTGAAAATAAGAATATCCTTACTCAAAGGGAAAATGTCAGTTCAGAAGACTCTGCTATTATGCTGATCTGGTTCTTCATCGTAAGGTGAACTAGGAACTTGTCTCTGCAGCACTGCTAATTGTTGTTCAGAGTGAAAAGCCAATGAACTCTTGGGTGACTGCCAGAGAGGCCTGGGAAAAAAAGAAAGTCCTCAGATTTGTGAATAGCTGTTTGTATCTTGCTGGGAATGCCCCGACCTGAACTGCATAGATAACATTGGCATGACTGCCACAAGAAAATTTTACTGGAGAGAGGAAGGGGCAACGTTTGAAGGGACTTTCAAAAGCCCAACTCAAGAGATTTGTGAGTACCTTTCAAAATAGAAAAAAGGAGAAAGTCACGTGTGGTCTCCTCTATAACAGTCACATGAAGAGAGGTCTTAAATTGCAAAGAGTGAAGTTCAAGCCACAAAGAACACAGACGGCCCTACCTAGTGTTCAAATACGCAGTCACTAACCAAATGCCCCTTTCCGCAGAACTTTTCCATCCAAATGACCAGAAAGGCTAACTCTTCTCAATGGTCAGTGCTTGAGGAGGAAGAAGAAACAGGGAACGTCAGAGCTGGATGAAGCCTTGTTAATTATCTACTTGTTGGACTGTGGGCTCTTCGAGGACAAGCAATGTGGTGTCTTGTTCTTTTTTTTTTATTCCTTTGGCACACATGAAGAGGAAACCTAGTTGTCTTTTGAATAAGTAAATGAATAGCTCAATCTTTGCATTTCAAAGGCTAGAGGCCCAAAGATTTGCTCACAGCTGGGCAGAGCCAAGACAGTAGCCAGGTTTTCCAACTCCCAGTTGAGGGATCTTCTATATAGCTGAGATTTTTCTATCTACAAAAATTAAAACAATAAAGCTGAAACATGGTGATAGCTGCACAACTCTGAATATACTAAAAACTAATGGAGTGTATGGTATGTGAATTATATTTCAATAAAGCTGTTATAAAAAATAAAGCTACAATACTAGCAAATAAAAGAAAAAATAAATTGCAATGAATACATTAGCTAAATTAAAATCCCCTTAACAAGGAAGCAAAAAAAACCATTATATGTCAATGTGAATGCTTTAAAAGTTCAAAGCAAAATTATCTACACACAAAAACAATGTGAAGTATAAAAATCCAAACTTATGTTAAATAAATCAGGAAACAATTATTAATATTACTGTAGAGTTCTTTTGATTTAAATAAGATTGGCCACAAGGTTCTATTATATATTTTAAATCTCATGGTTCTTGAAGAAAAAAGACTCAAACTTAAGGCTGTGCTAGAAATAAAAATGGAGTATCTCTTCAATTATGAGTGAACTTAATGGAAAAATATGATAGAAATTTAATTTACACTCTACTTTTCCAGAAATGTCCATCTTTTTAAGTAAGGTATTCCTTTACATCCCTTTTAAAGACAAATTGCTAGTGATTGAGAAATTCTATTTCAACTGGCAATATGCTGGACACTGTTGGAGCTTTAGGCAATAAAATTTAACCTAACTCTTTCTTTTAAAACACGTAAAAAATTCACTCATGTTCTCATAATTCTTTCTTAAGATATTCACCTAATTTCCTTGTCCAAATGCTACCACTCTTTTCTTTCATCGGAGATTTGTTCCTTTATCAAGTTTGATTAATATTTGCTGCCACCTAGAGGTAAAAATAGTTTGCTTAAAGATAGTTATCACAGATTCTCTGGAAGGGACGACAAAAAACTGATGAACAGCGACTTCCACTGGAGAGGGAAATAGGCCAGGAGCGGATGTCATACACTCATTTACTATTTTTGACTTTTTTTCTTTACCTTGCATATGTTCAATACTTTCAAGTGATTTTTAAGAGAGTCAGCTTAATTTTCTTGCTGCAAGACTAATAAGCCTGAGGGAGAGTCATTGGCATCAATAACATTTTCTTCTCTCCAGGTAAATTCCAAGTTAGGTGAGAAATGCAGTTTTGCATGGTATGACTGTAGCTGCTACTACCTGTCTTGTATTGCTATTTTTATTTTATAAGGATATGTATGATGTTTAGATAAAATCTGAGGTCATTTCCAGGGCTTAGATTTTGACATTTCATGGCATTTCAGTTTCTAAAGCCAATTTCTTTTTTCAAATTTTAAATGTTCCAAGCATAAAGCATAGTACAGAGAATAATACAAAATTTTCACATTCAGTATCTCATTTGCTCTCCAAATAACTCTGAGATAGGCCAGGACAGAGAGAAGGGGAAGAAGATCCGCTGAGTGTTATTAAGTGTGAGGCATTTCAGAACCCTTCTGGAGTCCAGTGGTGTCCCTAGGGAGGTGTGGGGGCCTCCATCAGAACTGTCATTATTACCCGATTACGATGACGCTTCAAATCACGCGATGTCACCTGCACAGGCTACAAGCACGCACTGTTGTTTTCGTTGCTGCCGGTGTTTTTACAGTCGCTGATTTTGTCAAATTTTCTGGGGTTTTGGCTACAATATTGTGGTAATTAGAATGGGGTGGGTGATATCATGAGTTACTGCACTGGATGACACCAACCCTCGTGATGCCACTGTGCCAGTGTTTATAAAGTCACTGATTTTTTTGTCACATTTTCTGGTGTTTTAGCTACGATGCTGTGGTAATTAGTATTTGTAAACCTACATCAATAACTTTTTTGAGAATGAAATAGTAACTAAAGGAAGAGAAGGAGTGACATATGAGAATTACGATTTATGAGTAACATCAGTACAAAAAACATTACTTAAGATTCTGTACGGTCTGATAGGGGACGAGGTCCATGGCGGGGGGTGACACCATGAGTTACCTGGGTGACACCAACCTAGTGACACCATTGCTGGGGTCAGTGTCTTAGCCTCACTCCACAGATGAGGGTCTACTGAGGCTCAGGGAGATTAAGCCAGGGGTGCAGGGTCACATAGCCAGGGAGTGTCAGAGCTGGAACCCAAATCCTAGGTCTGTCTCATTCTGAAACACCCGTGTTCTTTCCAGCACTACTACCGTGCTTCTAACTAACCTGCAATACCTTCATGAAGTAGGTAGGCCAAGTACTGCTATCCCTATTCTACAGGTAAATTAACTGAGCTTCAGAAAGATAGAACAAGTCACCAAAGTTCATATAAACAGCTAATAAGTGACAGGAATGGACATGATCCAACACTTCTAATCCCATGTTCATTACTCTTTCCACCAAGCTACATAATTTGTAAATTAAAAAAAAATCTTGGAAAGAAAATGAATATTTACAAATTTTCAATATTTGCTCAATTATGAGATTTACTAGTCATCTAGTCAAGAAATAAGAAATTCATTTATTTGGATATGAAATTATTTTGGTAAGTCTATTGCTTCTGGGGAGCCCTGGTGGCACAGTGGTTAAGGGTTCAGCTGCTAACCAAAAGGCTGGCAGTTCGAATCTACCAGCCACTTCTTGGAAACTCTATGGGGCAGTTCCGCTCTGTCCTATAGGATTGCTATGAGTCGGAATTGACTTGACAGAAATGAGTTTTTGGTTTTGGTTGACTGCTTCTGACCTTTTAAAGAAATGTTTTACTGAAAAATTACATCCAATAAAACGTGCAAGTCTTAAGGGTACAGCTTGATAAATTCTTACATACACACATAACCGTGTAACCACCACCCAGATGCAGTGTTTCTAGATGTTCCTGGACATTTTTATGAGCTACACTATTTAAATTTTAAGCCCAGGTGTAAGGCAAAAGAATCTCAACAGCCTATGTATATCAATAAAAAGATTTTTATGATATAAACCAACTAAGATTGCATAAATCTGATTTTTTTTTTTTTTGCTGTAACTGACTATAAAAGGAGGAACAGCTCAGTCACTGTGGGAGGCCCTTGGGGACAATCCATACACCCTGTTATAGGGCCCTAAACCCTCCGGTATTACAGTGAAATTTCTCCTTGTTGTGTCAAGTACATGAGATTAGCAACTGTGACTATTTTCCATAATTCTTAAACTATGAAAAGATCTCTTCTCAGAAAAGACATGCCTGCAAAAAGCAGGAAACGTGATATTTGCAAATACTTATTAAAAGGGCGAGTTCCCTCTCACTTTTTTCCCTGTTTCGTTTTCATTAGAGACCAGGGAAAAGCCTACTCCCCACAGCCTCCCTTAGTAGTGTCCCAAATGAGGTAAGAAAGTTAGGACTGATGTCACCACTGGCCTGAGGAGGATAATAAAAGGGGTCAGAACACCATTCCCTCTTGGAATGGCTACCTGGCTCATTCATTTATTCAACAAATATTTACTGACTGCTTACTATATGCCCGGTATTGTCCTCACAGCACTCACATCCTAGAAAAGAGGTAATCTGTGCCATGCTGATATAGTCTCCACTGACCCTTTGCCATCCTTGCCAAGCCCAAGTGAAATGAATCTCAGCCTCATCAATTCAACATAGTTGAAGAATCTTTACGGAGAGGGCAAAAGTACTGTGGGTAATACCTGGATATCGTTTGGTACTGGATTTTATACAGAGTAAAGGAATCTAAGGAGCCCTGGTTGCACAACGGTTAAGCATTTGGCTGCTTACCAAAAGGTCAACAGTTCGAATCCACCAGCCACTCCTTGGAAACCCTATGGGGCAGTTCTACTCTGTCCTATAGGGTCACTATAAGTCAGAATCGACTCAAAGGCAACTTTTTTTTTTTTTTTTTAATTTAAAGGAATCTAATGGGAGAAAGATGTGGCAGTCTGCTTCTGTAAAGATTTACAGCCTTGGAAACCCTATGGGGCAGTTCTACTCTGTCCTATAGGGTCACTATGAGTCAGAATCGACTCAAAGGCAATTTTTTTTTTTTTTTAATTTAAAGGGATCTAATGGGAGAAAGATGTGGCAGTCTGCTTCTGTAAAGATTTACAGCCTTGGAAACCCTGTGGGGCAGTTGTACTCTGTCCTATAGGGTCACTACGAGTCAGAACCAACTTGATGGCAATGAGTTTGGTTTGGGTAAAGGAATCTAAACTTATGGCTATTTCCTGAAGTTTTATCTTATTGCAATCAAATGATCAAATTAAGGCCTAGCCTGGAGAGGAGACCAAAAAAAAAAAAAAAACGAAAAACCCAAACCAGTTGCTGTTGAGTCAATTCCAACTCATGGTGACCCCATGTGTGTCAGAGTAGAACTGTGCTCCATAGGGTTTTCAATGGCTGATTTTTCGGATGAAGATCACTAGGCCTTTGTTCTGTGGCACCTCTGGGTGGACTCAAACCACCAACCTTTTGGTTAACAGCCGAGTGCTTAACGTTTTGTGCTGCTCAGGGACTCCAAACCAGTTGCCATCGAGTTGATTCTGATTTATGGCAACCTCGTGTAGAACTGCACTCCGCAGGGTTTTAAATGGCTGTGATCTTTCAGTTCTCGGCAGAAAGGCCTGCCGATCTACTGCCTAAAGGTCATAGCCATTGAAAACCTTACGGAGCACAGTTCTGCTCTAAAACACATGGGGTTGCCATGAGTCGGACTTGACTCAACAGCAATTGGGTTTTTTTGTTGTTGTTTTTCTTTCATGGTACCTCTGGGTAGACTCTAATGGCCAATCCTTCAGTTAGTAGCTGGGCGCTTAACTGTCTGTGTCACCTAGGGACTCCTGAGGGAGGTGAGGCACCCTTACTCACCGGTTTTTGGAGTCGTCCAGCAATGTATAAGTTATTCCAGGTGAGGAGATCTTCAACCAGAATACTAGTGCTAATAACCCCGTATTTGATAAGCTAGAAAAGGAAAGAAATGAGCATGAAAACCAGCAAAATACCACATTGTAACTTAGGCTTTTTACAGAATATAAGGAGATCAAATTACTAACGAGAGTAGTACCTTGATTTCCAAAGTTATGCAAAATGCCTACCTTGTAAAGTTACAGATCTCCACCAAAACCCTTCATACACGTTTAGTGCCCAAGACTGATCTGGCTCTTCAAGTACATGAGGTGAGGTGACCACTACTTTAATGACATTAAAGGCAGAATGGCTTTTGGGGGCTATCTAGTACTGGTCCTCAGTGGAGTACATTGAAAAAACTGGTCCTTAACCACAGACAGATTGAGAAGCAGTGATGCAGTTTGGTCTCCTCATTTCAGGAAAAAGAAACTCAGGGCCCAGAGAGAACAAATGATGTGCCCAAGGTGACACTATTAGAAAGAGTGTCAAAACTAGGTCCTAGAATTTCAGTCTGTGTCTTCCAAAGTTCTTTTTACACCAGGTATAAGAAATTTTCTTTAATTAAAAGTTTTCACTGACATCCTTTATATAGCAAATTTCTCTTTCGCTATTGAGTATTTCAAACACTTTTATAAGCAAAAAAAAAAAAAAAAAAATCCAAAAAAGAAAATCTCTTTATCAGTGCTAAACACATGGAATTATGGTCAAGCTCATTTCAATAGTAAACTGACTGTAGTGCAACAGATTGCTTTTACATGGCCTTTCTTGCCATGTAACTCCCACCAAATGATTGGGTGGGACTATGCAAATAAGGTGCTAGTAGACCATCAAGGGGATTGGAAAGCTTGCTAATAATGCAAATAAGGTGCATGGCACACGTGCGGGGGTGGCACCATGCAAATAAGGTGCGTGGAATCTTAATGAAGGGATTGGTCAGTTTTGCCATCCCAGAGGCAGACGGGGTACCTCAATTCCACCAAGAAGAGAGAGGAACAGAGTATGTCCTTTAGACCCATAGCCTCTGCGCTGAGAACCTCCTAGACCCAGGAGACAGCGAGAGAGAGAGCTGTAACACCGGAGACAGCGCAAGACAGTGAGAAGTGGTAGCAGAGAGGCAGCGGCAGCAGAACCAGGAGACCAATGCGAGATGGCACAGTGAGCTTCCCAGACCACAGAGTAAGGTGGTTACAGTGGGTGTATGACCCATGGAGCAAGGGAGCTGAGTGCCTTCAGGCAGGAGGCTTCCTGGTGGAGTGGAGTGCCTCTGGGCACTTGTTGGCAGAGCTAGGCTTGCCAACCCACAGAGCAAGAGAGCTGAGTGCCTCTGGGGTCGAGGCTTGCTAGTGGAATGAGATGCCCCCAGGGAACTTATTGGCAGAGCTAAAGAGCTTTGTAATACTTGCCCAAGCAGGGCAGAGACCGGACCAAGGGGCTGAGGGGCCAAGGGCTAGAGAGAGGCCTGTCTGCAGGCATGGCTGAGAAGAGGCTGTCCTGATCAAAGAACTGAATCCTGAATTATAACCTGTTACTTCTCTAATAAACCATGTAACTGTAAGTACAGTTTGTGAGTTCTGTGTGGCCATTACAATGAATTATCGAACACAGCAGAGAAGCAGAGAATGCCGTGGGAGGGACAGCTGGTGTCAGAATTGGTAAAAACGTTGGAGGGTAGAAGTATGTCTGATCTCTGCCTCACAGGAATCAGCCTTGGGCTGTTGATGCTGATAATGATTCTCTCTTCACCCCATTCTGAAGTTAGAGGAAGTCAGACAATGCTGCGCTGCCATTTTTACACTGACAAATCCTGAATGTAATTCTCCCAGGTCACAGAATCCTATCTGCATCAGCAAATGCCTCCATACCCACTGTGCTGAGCTCCAAATATCCAAACACCCCTCTCACTGCAAATATCTAAAAAGTAGCTAAAGGGTGGAGGGCTGTTGGGACCATGGTCTCGGGGAACATCTAGCTCAATTGGCATAACACAGTTTATAAAGACAATGTTCTACATTCTACCTTAGTAAGTAGCATCTGGAGTCTTAAAAGCCTGTAAGCAGCCATCTAAGATACTCCACTGGTCTCACCCCTTCGGGAGCAAGGGAGAATGAAGAGAACAGGATACAAGGAAAAGATTAGTCCAAAGGACTAATGGACCACAGCTACCAAGGCCTCCACCAGTCTGAGTCCAGTACAGCTAAATGGTGCCCGGCTACCACCACTCACTGCTCTGACCGGGATCACAACAGAGGGTTGTGGACAGAGCTGGAAAAGGATGTAGAACAAAATTCTAACTCACAAAAAAAAAAAGACCAGATTTACTGGCCTAAAGGAGACTGGAGAAACCCCGAGAGTATGGCCCCCGGACACCCTTTTAGCTCAGTGGTGAAGTCATCTCCAAGGTTCACCGTTCAGCCTGGGAGTGGACAGCCCCATAAAACCAAATGGGACTAATAAGGTACAGCAGTCCAGGGACAAGGGCCAGAAGGCAGAAGGGGACAAGGAAGCTGGTGATAGGGAACCCAAGGTTGAGTAAGGATAGTGTTGATGTGTTGTGAGGTTGTTAACCACTGTCATAGGGCAACATGTGTAGTAACTGTTAAATGAGAAACTATTTTGTTCTGTAAGCCTTCATCTAAAGTGAGAATAGCAGCACAACTGGGAGAGCGTAGTCGATGTCACTGAACCGTGCATGTAGAAATTTTTGAATGGTGTATCTTTGGCTATGTATATTTTCACCAAAAAAAAAAAAAAAGGTCAAGAAGGGAGAGGGTTGACATGTTGTGGGGTTGTTAACCAGTGTCATAAAACAATATGTGTACTACTGTTTCATGAGAAACTATTTATTCTGTAAGCCTTCACCTGAAGTACAATAAAAAATAAATAAATAAAAAGTAGCTAAAGAATTTCAGTTAAAAAGTATAACACCTTTGTAATATAATCATGCCCAAACATTTTGTTACTGGAGCTTATAATATTGTTTGGAAACTACTAATTAGAGATAGGCTCAGTGTAACGTTAACTATGGACAAAGAAGAAACCTACGTGTTTTGTTATGACTAAAGTGGATGTGGAAGGCTGTGCTGAAAAGCTACCCTCTTCATTCCACTCTAGATGCAGTACTGCAGAAACCCCTTCTTGCTGCAGCCACATAACGACTGGGAGGCAAGGAAAACATCAGTAGCCTGTAAGTCAGGGGGCATGATGGTTAATTGTTGTGCCAACTCCACTAACTATGATTCCTAACAGTTTGGCCAAATACCAGTCTAGTTGCTGTTCCACTATGGAATCCAATGTAATGTAGTATAATCACATTCCACAATGTGATCTACTGTAATCAATCAGTCAGTTGAAAGGAGGAGTTTCCTTAGGGTGTGGTCTGCCTTCACACTATAAATGGATATTTTGGCATCTCTCTCTCTCTCTTCCCATCACCCGACCTACGGATCTTGAGACGCAAGCCTACAGAAGTCTTCAGCCTGCCGCCTGACCTTTCCAATATTTTGGACTTGTCAACCCCTCAAAATTCCTTGAGCCAATCCTTTGAACTAAATCAACCAATCTTGCCCACTCTCTCTACATATATATATGTGTGTGTATATATATACATATATATACATACATACATATATATATATATGTACATATATATAGTCAGTAAAACCTGTGAGCGCCAGAACTGAACGGGACTGCCTTGTTTTTCCAGGTCTCGGAGGTTTTCTGCCTTTGACAGGATGCAGTCTTACCTTACCACTTTTCTGTTGCTTGTTTTTGTGGAAAATACTTCAGCTTTCCTTTTCTGACTGGTTTCTGCCTTACACAGGTTCTGGCTTTCCCAGGTTTTACTGTATACGCCTCACTGGTTCTGCTTCTCTAGAGAACCCTCACTGAGACAACAGGCCTGTCACTAACTAGCTGCCCAACCTTATGAAGTCATTTTCTCACTCTGAACTTTGGTTTCTTCACCTGCAAAATGCAGGTGGAGCAGGATTGAACCTCAATCATAAAAAGCAAATACAATAAAACCTGCAAAGGCCAGAACCTGTGTAAGGCAGAAACCGATTAGAGAAGGAAAATTCAGATATTTTTGGCTAAAACAAGCCAAAGAAAAGCGGTAAGACTGCACCCTGTCAAAGGCAGAAAACTTGTGAGACCCGGAAAAATAAGGCAGTCTCACTGAGCTCTGGCTCTCACAGGTTTCACTATATACCGCCCACAGTATGCACAGACATCATTAATCAATCACAGAACTCATTCCTGCTAAGTTCAGCTGTCTTCAAAATCCTTCTCAAGGCAGCATTCCAACCTCCTGCCCTTCAAAATGTGGTCCTTCAACCGGTAGCATCAGCATCACCTGGGAGCTTGTAAAAAATTTCAGAATCTCAGGCTCCATCCCAGACCAAATGAGTCAGAATCTGCATTTTAACAAGACCCCCAGGTGAACTGTATTCATGTCAAAATGTGACTGCTCTAAGCAATCAGAAGCAATGAGGAGAGCTGGCACAACAGGTGAAACCCCTACATCATCCCTAGCCTAGCTAACCTCAAAGTGGCATCTGCTTAGCCCCCACTGGTCCTCTTAGGCTGGGGTCCTGCCTAGCCCTTAGCAGCCCTCACAGAGATTGGGGTCCTTCATCCGAAGAATAGTCTGGCACTGTTCCTGCTGTCAGACAACCCATCTGCTGGGATCCATGCATCTTACCTGTTCTCCAATACCCCTATTGCTAAATTCCACCCACTAGCTAGCACCAAGAGGATCTTATCATTTGGCCCCAGATGCTGCTGACCACCTGTGATATCCTCTTCACTTGTAACTTCTTCGTGGGGGTGTCTGCTCCTTCTTACAGATATGATTAAATCTTCACCTTGACCCTAAGTGGCCTACCTATTCCTTTCACTGACCAAACCACTGGTTCTCAAAAGGTGATCCCCAGACTAGCAGAATGGGCAGCACCTAGGAGCTTGTTAGAAATGCAGAATCCCAAGCCCCACCCCAGGCCTATGGAATCAGCAACTCTGGCGATGGGACCCAGCAATCTGTGTTTTAAACAGGAACTCCAGGTGATTGTGATGAACACTAAAATTTGAGACCCACTTGGCCTAAGACAAAAAATAAAGACAGTTAACACCCAACCACCTTCTCACACTGCAATCACAGTCGAGGGAAACTGAGGACTCCAGTTACTGCTCTGTCCCTGGGTTCAAGATACCCAGCAGGACACCCAACGTTTCCTGACAGCAAGAAGATACATATCAGCTGGTATTCTATTAACAAAGGTTAAGGGGCCTATGCAGGTCCCTATCCAAGTCAAGACAACGGTCCAAAGTCACTTACCCTACCATCACACTTTATCAATGGATTGTAGTAAACTCCAGCGCCAAAGTTATTCTGGATGGTTGTGATAATCCTGGGCCCCAAAACTTTTAGGAAAGAATAGTGGCTCCAGTTTTTCTTCAGGTTCTTTGAATGCCATCTAACAGGATCATCTACTGTGAACACAAGGTCCAGCATGGGATTCTGTGAGGTGAAGAAAAACAGAATGATCTCAGTATTAAGTCCTAGAAAGAAACCAAGACACAGTGGAAAACTCTATCTGACCAACTGAGTCAGAATCTGCATCATGACATTATGATTAATAGTTAGAAGACATGGGATTCTCCTTAGAGACTTAAGCAAGTCTTTGGAATCAAACTGAGCTTTGTTTTCATCAATACAAATAACAACAGCAAACATTTACTTATATGTATTATGTTATGCCAGGCATTCTTCTAAGCATTTTATTATATATATATACAGGAACTCATTTTATCCTCAAAACAATTTTATAAGGTAGGCCCTTTTTTATCCCCATTTTATAGGAGAGGAAACCAAGGCACAGCGTAAGGTCCTTGGCCAAGGACACATAGTGAGTGGCAGACCTAAGTAGTATGGTTCCCAATTCTGTGTGCACAATCGCTATGCTACACAGCTTTTCAGCTAAATGTAGCTAAGTGTGCTCCACTTTCCTTCCAGATGATCAAATAATACTATAGAGATAAAACTCTATAAAGTATTACATAAAGGAAAATAACTATTTCAACTCTTATCGATTCACTAACCACTCACTGAGCACCTACAATGATATGTCCTTGGCTAGAGGTAAGGAGGAGCCTGGGTGGCACAGAGTCTGAGCCTACTGGGGAGAAGAGACAATTCAAGTGTAAGTTGTCTTGAGAGAGAATGCAAAATGTAGTAACATCACTCTGAATGGGGCTGGGTCAGGAGAACAGAAAGGAGAAAACTTCCTAGAGATGATAAATCTGAGTTGTGAGGAATGCGCAGGGGAATGACTACCACCTAGTACTTGGTGGAAGTACTAGGGAAACACAGAGGGGGTAGGTAGTCCTGTTAGAGAAAACTGCTCCTGTGGGTATGAGACAAGCCCCAGGCATTCTGGGAGCTGCATTTCGTTTGGTATGACTGGGACAGACTACAAGCATGGGAGTGGTGGGACCAGAGAGAGGCTGTCTGCGATGCTAAGAAATGTTCCTGCAGAAGAGCTGAGTGGAGGGAGGGGAGACTAAAGTCAGAGAAACCTGGTAAGAGGCTACTTTGACAGCTCAGGTGAGAACTGAGAAGAGGATATTAACTAAGACACGGAGAGAAGGGTCTGATTTGAGATTTAGGTGTTAGAACCGCCAAGATTTGTTAACTTGAACGTAGGGAATTAGGGTGAAGGTGAGGGAAAGGGAAGGAAGGATGTTTTCTTGGAGGGAATGCCAGGTCTGTTCAAAGGAAAAGCTTCACGGAAAATGAAGAAGTGGCTATAGAATCAGGAGGGAATGACTACCACCTGCTCTGAGTTTCCCATCATGTGATCCACAAATCCCTGGTGATACTTGGGAAGGTTTGAGGTGGTTCACAGGTAAACATTAAAAAAAACATTTTCTGCAGTTATGTTAACATGTTTTAGGAAAAATAACTAGCACATCCAAAATATAATTCCTCATACTTATTGCCAATTTAAAGAAAATATGTTAATTAAATAGTATAGGTGGAAACAGAAGTCCAAGCAACAGCATAGACAGCCTCACCAGGAAATGAATAGGCAAACTTTAATTGGAAGACAGATTCCAGCCCAGGACGCCAAATCAGCAAGGCCCTCTTGCAACCTGCCCACTGAATTTTGCGGTCCACAGGAAATGTGTATCCTCACAGCTACTGGTATTGCTGGCCCTCAGCAGACTCTTAAGAATTAACAATACCTAGAGCTTGGCTGCTGACCAAAAGGTCAGCAGTTCAAATCTACCGGCTGCTCCTTGGAAACCCTATGGGGCAGTTCTACTCTGTCCCATAGGGTCGCTATGAGTCCGAATGGACTCTATGGCAACAGGTTTAGTCCCAAAGGTCCTTGTTAAATGTACTTAGGATGACACTGGTATCCATTACCTTGTGCTGTCAATTACCTTCCCTGCACCTGCCCTGGCCCTACAACCAGTCTGTCAGCTTCCTGGAGTCAACAGAATCATTTTGGCCTATTTTCTCCTACAGCTACAGAACTGACTCTCAAACTTAGCTGTGCATTAGAATCCTTTGGAAAGTTTTTTAAATTCCTGAAGCCCAGGCCAGTTAAATCAGAATCTCTGGAGATGGGACCCACGAAATCCCACTGTTCAACCAAGACTGAGCACCACTGAGCTAGAACCTTACAAAATTTTTTTCTTTCTTCCATCTTGCCTTTGCACCAGCTTTTCCTTCTGCCTAGTTGCATCTTTTGCTCCGAAGTGTACTTCAAAAGTCACCTCACGCTGTCGTTATACTAGCAACACTTCGTAAGATCTGTACTTGGCTGACACATGGAAGTGTGCAGAGCGGGAAGGTCGCTCTAGGGCTCGGAAGCGACAGAAGGCCAAAAGGAACTTGTGAGAACAGGCAGATTCCGGGAGAGGGCTGAACTGGAGAATGCACACGGAGGGTCTGGCCTCACCTTCTGGTTTGCATTGGGCCCCGCCTGGCGGTACACCCCGGAGCCATAGGCGAAAGCCAGGCTCAGCTCCTCGGGGAAGTGAGACAGGATCTTGCGGAAGGCCACCCCCGAACTCGGCAGCGATTGCAGCACCATGGGGCCGAGGTTCAGAGACAGGGGACCCCTCAGAACAGGGCAGAAAACGGCGGGGAACAGATACAGGGCAAACTGATACTGAGGCAGGCGTCTAAGGGTGGGGAAATGGAAGTCGGAGACCCGCCCAAACACGAGCGAGCTAAGGAGAGAAAAAGGTCGCGGCACCGGCAAGGACCTAGGCAGGTCCAGCGGTCCACACACAGGCCGGGAAACGCTGCAGCCGATGCACTCTCTGGGGTGGCGGTCGTGCCGGCCCAGCGGCCCGCCTCTCGCACCCACACGCGCTTCAAAGAGACGGCGCTCGCCGGGGTGTGGAGAACTTAAGCGCGTCACAGTGACCCCGGGTGGTGGGAGGAGCGCACTGCATACTGGTAGCTTAGGACTGCAGCTTGGGCAAATGAGAGGGGGAGTGTCAACTGATTTAAAACTGCTTTTGATCCTTAAAAGTCCTTTTTTGTTCTCTCCTCAAATCACATTTTAGGAAATTATTACAAAATCATGCGCGTGTATTGAAGATGATTTTTTAAAATTGAGATGAAATTCACAAAACTAACGGTTTTACAGTGTACGATTCAGTGGCCTTTAGTACATTCACATGTTGCGCAACCATTACCTCTATTTAGTTCCCAGACTGCAGAATGTTAAGGTCTAGAAAAACACAAATTAAAGAAAAGTAAAACCATGCCCAATTCTACCATCTGGAGATAACGACTGGTAAGATTTGGGTGTGTTTTCTTCTGGTTAAAGCCCTTTTCAAATCAGGTCATGGGTATAAAAATGCTCTGTAAATGGGAAAGGGCTATACAGATGTTCTCTGACGTTTGTATTTCATTTTAAGAGTGAATAAGAGCCTGTGCCCCTTTGCCTTGGGTATTGGTCTCACAAAGGACACTTGAAATGCAGTTTTCAGAGGAGATGGGAGAAACTTGTTCGAGATCACACGCCATTTGAAATAGTTTGACTTCTAGGACGGATACTTTTCAGCTACTTTTTCTCTCTTCCCTGATGTACACTGCCTCGGAAAAAAATTAAAAACCACTTGCCATTGAGTCGATTCCAACTAATGGAGAACCCATGTGTGCCAGATAAAACTGTGGTCCACAGGGTTTTCAATGGCTGAGTTTCCGGACGTAGATCACCAGACCCTCCTCCAGAGGCACCTCTGGGTAGACTTGAACCTCCAACCTTTTGGTTAGCTGCTGAGCGTGTTAACCGTTTAAACCACCCTGGGACTCCAACAACCATAATACCAAAACAAACAAACAAACAAACAAACCAAACTCATTGCTGTCGAGTCAGCTCCAACTCATAATAATAATAGGTGCTATTTATTAAGCACTTGCTGTGCCCAAGCACTATTTTATAATAATCTCTTTCCATCATTCTTAAGACCCTGTGAGGCAGGTTCTCTAAGATTATCATCGAATTTCACATGAGGAAACAGAGGCCCTAAAGGATAAGCAAATTTCCCAGTCACACAGTAAGAAAAGTGGTGAAGTCAGAATTTGAACCCAGGGCTACCAAACTCCAACGGGCATGTCTTTCCACCATGTTTTATTGCCTTCTAAAATGGACAACTTGTACGGCAGAGAGAAAGAAATAGGAAATAAGCTGTTTCTAAACCATTAGCCAAGGTTCAGAAGCAGCTGCAATAGCCAAAGGGACAATCAAGAAACCAGAATAACAGAGGCAGAAGTGAAAAGAGTATGTCTCACTCTCCATATGTGAGCACAGTCATTTTGGTTGATTCTGACTGAATGTCACCTTTGCCCCATTGCCGGAATCTGGAGTGCACTTACCATGGAATTACATGGAAACTTTCCACCCAAAGACCATGAGTGAATCCTCTTACCAGTGGGCTGGTATTTTTGTTTTGTTTTCCTTTCTTCCCTTAAGGAAGTAATTTATCTTTGTTGGTTTATTTTCTATTTGCAGAAGAAATCCATGCTCATAACGTTTTAAACATTTCAGCAATGTATAATACCACCCCCAGAGATAGCCACTGGTAATCTTTGCAACACATTCCTGCAGATATTTTTCTATGAATATCTTAACATTAAAAACATTTTTAAATGGAACCATATGGAAGATACAATTTTGCAATTTGCTTTTTTCACTTAACATATCAGTGACATGTCAGAATATACATCTATCTATCTCATTCTGTTTGTTAGCAGCAAATTATTCTAAAATACGGATATTTCATAATTTGTTTAAGTATTTTCATATTGGTGGATATAGATGATTTCTGGTTTTTCATGTGTGCAAACAATGCTAC